TAAATTGTGTTATAGTGTATGATGGGGTCTGAGTTTGCATCATTTTTGCATGAGGCCTTTTTGGTTATTGATAAAAATGCTGAATCCTTTAGGTGCCTCTGATAGTGACTGATGTACCTTTGCATCTACTATGCTCATTCTCAATAATGGAAAAGGTGCACAGTTTGATTTAGTATTTGGTCAAATGTAAGTATGGGCTAGTGATTAAATTGTTAAACTAGGGCCAAAGAGATCCAAGTCTACCCTGATGAGTGTGCTTTGGGTACTTCATTCTTTCTCAGCCAAATCTACCTCATAGATTAGCTGTTGAGAGAACAGCTAATGAAAGAATAGAAGACAATTTCACTATTACTGGAAACAACCTGATGTCTGATGATTCTTAAGCATTATCCTGTTGACTGAATCTTTGGTAGCCTAAAATGAGGAAGAGAGATTCTTGCTTTGTAGTACCTCTGTTCTGCTTCTTCTTTGATGGGAACTATGGACACTCAAGTCCAATAAATGTGTAGATAACTGGATAGGAATATAGACAACTCTGGTGTGTTATAATACTGTTACTTGTATTCGAGTTCCTTTAGTACAAGTAGTAAGAATGGATGGACACAGGGTAGCAAAATTATTTGAAAACATTTATAATGGTTAAGATTTTATATATATGTATACAATTTAGATTATTTTTAAAAAACTCTACTATGAAAAATGTAATGTGAAGTAATAAGACACTGAAAGGCCCTAAGCGTTCAAAGACAATGCAACATAATTGTCTGTGGAAGATAGCTAGCTGTCACTTTCATCAATCACAAAACCAAACCAAACCAAATGACAGGAGTATGCCAATTTAACTTCAGAAAGATGTTTCTAATATATAGTGCAAAAATTAACACAAAATAGTACTATGACAAATATTTCTATGTCTTACAACTGAGTGTTCCTTAACAAGATGTTTAAGACCGTTTGACATATTTATATTACTGGCTATTTTTGCCAATTGCGTGGCCTTAGCTGTTTACATCCCATTTCCAGAAGATGATTCTAATTCAACAAACCATGATTTGGTAAGTAGCATTTTTACCTTCATCTTAAACTGTCTTTTAAATTTTTATAGTGTTTTTTGAATTTGCTCAATTGCCCCTTAAAAGTTAAAAAGAATGGTTTATTTTGTCAGGTGAAAAAAGTGAACCAAAATTTAAACATTAAATGTTTTACTTTGATTGTAAGGTCTGATAGGCATATTCCGGTTTCTGAAACAATAAGATGCATTACGAGGAAAATGATAATTGGATTTATAGGTAGCTGCTGTTTAATCTTACATGCTGTTTGCTGTGTCAGTGCTGTTCTTTTACATCTGGCTGTCACATGAACTTTTATTTCTCTGTTCACCTTGTTTTGATTGCTTCCTTGCTATCAGTAGAAAATATTGAATATATTTTCAAGGCAGGAATAATTTTGCAGAAAATAACTTACATAAATAATCGCCTTTCTAATCAGATGTTGGTTACATTTGGAAGAATGTTGTTCCTTTAAAGGAAGTGTGTTAGCATGAAGGTATTCGTATAAGTAGATGATGTTAAAATTATAGACTTGGCTTCTGTTAGCAGAAAGTGTTTTCCAAGCATGGGAGGATGGTTTCTCATTTAACAGAGAAGGTTTGAAGGAATTTTTTTTTCCCAGAAATTGCATCAATTTTGTGTGCATTCATAATATTTTTATTGAAATAAAATTAAGATAAACTAAGGAAAATATTAAAAGTAGAAGAAATAAGTGCAAAAAAAGAAAGGAAGAAAAAAGGCTAAAGGAAAAGGAAAAAAGGAAAATAAATAGAAGACAAACAACAGGACACATATAAATTCACTCTAGAAGAATTTAAGTATATTTGGGAACAATGTACATTGAGCATACGGTCTGAGTCAATAAAAACTGGCTTAAAAAGAAGAGATAGAAGACAATGTATGACAAAGGTTGTTTTAGACAGTTTTAAAATTGACAGGATACAAGGATGATATTGACAACAGATTATATAGAACAGGACTTACAAATGAAACAGGATGAAATTTTAATAGCTAAAAGGGATACACAAATAATAAATCAGAAGAGTGACTTGGATATATGGATTTTAACTTAGAAAAGTGACTTGGACAATATTCTTACTTTGGATTTACAAAAGAGATATGTTATGCTTATGAAGGAATTCTTGAGGAAAAGAAAAGAGAGAAGAAATTAGTTTTGGGATGTTACTAAAAGGAATAATTAAGACCTTGAAAACAAAAGTTATTAAAGTTGATTTATTCTGTGAAGCTTAAACTGTCTATGATCCTTTTTTTCTAAGAGCTGTTTATAGGTTTTTTTTATTACTAGGACTCAATCGTAAGAAGACTCTTAAGATTTGTTAGTAGATATGAAATGGAAAGAACAGAATTTTGTTGTATTTTAAAAGAAAATAATATCAAAATTGAGGGACAGATAAAAAGATGATACATTAATTTGTGGGATATCATTTGAAGGGATTAAATCAGAGGTGGTATGCAGCAGATTCTGACCAGTTCTGGAGAACTGGTAGCGGAAATTTTGAGTACTTCGGAGAACTGGCAAATACCACCTCTGACTGGAGATTTTACAGTATCCTTCCCCTGCCACGCTCACCAAGCCACACCCACAGAACCGGTAGTAAAGAAATTTGAATCCTGCCACTGGATTAAATATTAATATTTAATCTGTTGTTTCTAGTAGCTCTTAAATGTTTTTTTTTCTTAAGATTGAATGATGAATTTTTAAAATTTTCTTTATAGGTGTAAGACATAGGAAGGTTTTTCTTCTTTGTGTTTTTAGATAAAATGACACGGTATTGTGTAAAGAAAAAGAAATATGAAACTGGGTTACTGGTTTAAAGTTAATATATTATTAACTTTATAATTATTAACATAATTAATATTATGTTATTTCTGGTAGCTCTTAATGGAGTTTTGCTGATTCAGATTGAAATATGTGACTTTATTTACCAATAGATAAAACATGAGATACGGGATGAAGAGATTTTTGGTTAAAATAATTAGATAAAGTATTGAATTATTGAATGTTTTTGTACTTGTCTTGAAAGAGAAAGTCATTCTTTCAGAACATTCATATAATATGCTTGCAGCTAACTATGGTTTCATTGAAATTTTGCTTAGTCCCTTCTCCGCTCAAGGGTACAGTTGTGAAGTATCATGGCTTGCTTTTAGGATGCTGGACCTTCCAGGTGGAAAATGAATGTTTATTTTGGCTGCAGTGTGCCAGAGAAGAAACATATGGCTGGTTTTATGTTCCCCTTTGTGGCTTAGTCCATTGTGAAGGAACCATTGGGTCATTTTCAGCTGGTAATCATGGCAATAGGAAAAGCAAACTAATTATGTGCGATAACTACTTTCCACAACTAAGAACAAAATGGCCATGCCTTTCAACCAAAGTGGATAAACTATGCCTACATAGGTGGTCACAATCTCCACTGAATTTTATATGATGTTTTAAATTAGATTTGCATTGTTATTTGTCATGTATGTGCAAAAGATACCCAACTTTTGAAATTTATCGTTTTATGACATATGCAGTTTTTTATATCCTGTACTAATTAAATGAAGATATCTATTGGTATTGGAAACTTTTATCTCTATGCTCTATTCCAAAGCTGCAGGATTAAGGTGTTAATTAAAATATTAAAAGCCATTTTGCACTGCTGTATCCCTTTTGTATGTATATGTAATATTGTGACGCTGCTTTCATTATTTGACTCCTCTTGTCCCCTCCCCATACTTCTGTGGCTTTTCCCCCATAATTCAAACTGCTGATGTATTATGATGACCTTCCCCTCTTTATACCTATACCTATATCATACCATACTGTACAGTACTATGTTACCATTTTATTTAGTGTAGTGGCTAAGATGTCAGGCTAGAAACCTTGGACCAGTCATTTTCTCTCAGCCTTGTCAAGAAAAATTGAAGTCAGTGTCCCAGAACTGGACACAACTGAATAAAAGGAAAAAATACAACATTACCATATTATGACTATGGTAATACTCTATAAGTAGTATTCCACTTGTGTGTAGTAGTCATACAGAGAATTCTAACGCTATAGAGTTATTTCATACTTCTCTTGCTTTCAGTTCAGTCATGATCTTGAGACAGTGGAAGTAACCATGAATATTCAGTGATCAGAAATCTGTGATGTGGCTCTAATTCTCTATGAATGTTAAATACTTGCAAGACTTGTTCTAGAGGCGTGTGACATGACTATATCTATTATACTGTGAATTGTTTCTGAAAACCTAAGAGGAGAAGCCTTCACTTCTGAATGCCTTCTATGTAGTGTGGTAACTTTTATGTAGAAGATAGTTGAAAACTGAGAGGATCTAAAGTAAAGCTGCAGCAGTTCAAATGATCAAACTAGCCATTTAATGGTCTGCTTGATGCCATATAATGGTCATCCAGATTTGAGAGATCATGAGTTGGAGAAAGAGGCACATCACTGCTATTTTAAATATAGACATTTGAATAATCCTTAACAAGTTGATAGTCATGTTTTATTGATTGTATTGATGCTTTCTGGAGAGTCTGTCTATTTATCTAACTACCTAGCTACAATGTAGCTTTTATACACCTGATTCCTACATCATTTAACTGTAACTTTGTGTGACAACTCTTTCATATTATTCATATTTTATTATGGCGTAAGGGTTTGAGAACTACCAGATTTTCTTGGGATGCATAAAATCATATGCATGTAAATGATGAGTATAGTGAAATGATTCATTATGGTCACACATCTTAAGCAGTAATACATTCATGGAACAGGGAGATTCTATTATTTGCAATGTGGACAAGTGCAGATCTCTATGGATGTTAAATACTTGCAAGAAGCATTTAAACAAAGAAGGAATTTCTGATAGGCAGTGTTTCATTCTTAAAAAATAATCTGAGAGGTATATAGGAAATGCTTTAAAGCTGGCCAGTACAAAATAGTTTGTGTTTTATTTATTGAAAAATTGTCCATGTATATTTTTTTTACAAAGAATCACTGTTGAAAAACTATTTAAAACTGTTAGGTGTTTTATTAGAATATGCTGCATATAGTAATTGGTATATTTTACATAGGTTTATTTCTTCAGGATAATACAAACGTCCAAAGATACAAACTTGTAGAAAAACATTGTGTTGGATCAATTATTTTACCCAAAGGATTATTTTGTTTTTAAAACTTTAAGACTCAGAACTCCACTTTGCTCTCAGTCCATTTAAAATAATAAATATTGCTGTTGGTGTGAGTAGGATAGGTCATTTTATAGAACATTTAGATTTCATATGTATGTCTTCTAAGCAAAGAGTAAGGTTTTTTTTCTTATCTGTGGGTTTCTTTCTTTCACACATGCTTTCAGCCTTTAGAATCTTTTGTTTAAATAAATTCAGAGTTACACTGTTTTCCTACAAGCTGCAAATGTGAGTTCTTTTTGGTTTGTACATATACATCTTTAACGCAGTTATGAATGCTGTATATTGGGGTGTCAAACTCTCATTGTCACGATGGCAATGTGACATATTGGGAGTTTTTTCTCCTTCTCTAAACTGGGTGGGGGTGGGGCTGGTAGATGCAGAAATATGTTTCATATTGTATCTTAGCTGCAAGCTCACATTACTCTGAGAAGCACAGAGCCGAAGACACAAGCCTGAAGATGATGAATGAGACTTCATCAAAACATCGCCTAGATACTTCTAATTTTATGCGGGAGAAAACCCGAATAACCAAAGATATATATATGTATGTATGTATGTATGTATGTATGTATGGTATTCAGCTTTGTTCGGGTATTTTCCCACGTCATTGTAGTTGTGCTTTTAAAGTTGTAGCAACGTTTTGGCAGAATCTCATCTGCCATCATCAGGCTTCATCAGAAGTAGAAAACATCCTCATACTTACAGACAACATCACTACAAAGGCACATATCAACAGACAAGGGGGCACTCATTCGAAACAACTCATGAAAGAAGCAGAGAAACTGTGCCTTTGGGCAGAAAGGAATGTGGCT